AACACAGATATCTAAAAATTAGAGAGACGTGTTGTATAGTCTAAAATAATGAATTTGCAATAATGAATATGCATATGAATGTTAAAAAGCGTTAAAAATAAATCGGCTAGTCAATCGTGCTTGGGTAAACAAGGAAATTCGAGTATATTTTACTTTAATGTTTAGTTGGTGTTCAGCACTTGCATTTCTCACATGAATAATATTTCTGACTTACTAAAAAGCTGAATTCTAAAAATCGCATCTTCTGCAGAAGACATAAGAAAACGTCTTGGAGATGTTTGTTTTATGTCGTGTCGGGGTGTTCGTAAGTTGTCTTTAAAACGTATTTTTCATGTTCGAGACATACAGATATTATCAGCGCATAAAACGGACATCATCAAGACCTTTTGTTGAATCTGGGAAGAGAAAGGCACACAAATATGGTTCCACAATTTCCTCTCTAATCACTCAATAGATTGTGGCCCAGTTTGTGAACCAACTTTTTTCCAAATGTATTGCATAGTATGCCCTGTAATTGGATCCAAAATTGTCACTTTAATGCACTTGAAGCTTAGAATTATGTAGAAATACTTTCAAATCGTGCATCTTAGGCAAAACAACGATCGTAGATATAGGTATGTCAGGATGTCTGACCGTTGAGTAGCTGGGGGGTGACTATTTTAGTCATAGCAAGGTTGCCAGATGGTCGGTACTGTCGCTAGGTCAGATGATAAATTTCTGGATTGCAACGTTGCCAAAATGCGTGGGAACTATGGACTACATTGTATCTTGTTTGATGGACTTGATCCATTTCATCTTTTTGACGACGGTGTTGTGTGAGGAGCGCAGAGTAAACATACTTTACTCTTACTATTTTTTCACTCAGAAGTATTTTATAAATACGAATAATTCTTAGTGTATTTTGAGCGCCGATATAGGCTTGTTCTAGTCTTTGAATTATTTAGGTTTCTTGGTTAAAGGGTGAGCATAAGACATCACTGTCGTGCCTTTTCGACACAAACAATACTGAAATTGGACCGAGGCTAGTTCCGTTTTACACTTATTTGAACGTTAGATTCTTATAAAACAGTACATTTTTCTTATGTCCACTATGTTTCGTCTAGAGGAGCAGTAAGTATTCTTCAAAGATTTGAGAATGAAATACGATTATCTGCAATCGTTGACTATAGTGCTGACTTTGGATGCCTTTGGGACAGGAATCTACACGGTAGGTTTTTTATCGAATGTTAAAATGCCATTTTGACGTATGAATAAATTAGTTATGAGTTTGATATTTTCGAAATATACGCTTGAACAAAATTGAAACTTACTTACTTCCTAAGTGGTGAACCATCAACCCAAACTGTAAGAAAATTTAGTACACGAGACAGTCCATCAATTCAGTTTGTGGACCAGTTCGTGTGACTGGATCACTATTAAACAAAACAACCTATGTCTAAAAATAACTCAGCACAAGGTGCCATCTATTAGCAGGATCGAACACTGCAAGAGTGAAAACACAAAGCCGTCTGCTGGAACTGTATCCCAGTTAGCGTTGCCAGCCGGATCACCACTGTGGCCGCTGGATGCCGCCGATCCTGGTGCTGTAGGTGTCCATGGTTGACCGTCTCTGGTCGGCTATAGTACGGTTTACTCACCATTAAACGAACTAGTAATGTAGCATTCGTTCGTCCTTCCACAGACGACCAACCATTAACAGCTATAGCGCCCCATTTTCACATCGGACGCTCTTTATTTTGTGACGAAAATGTGTCTTTGCAGGCAGAATGAACTTCTTTGTGGGTTTTGAGGGTTTTCATGATAATAACACAAATCGATTAAAAAACGTATTCCAAAACGGTTCCCGACAAATACTACATATTCTGGATGATTGTGATTGCTCAAACGCTATGTTAATAAACATACCTGTCACATTTTGGGATTAGGAAATGGACACGTCGTTGGAGAGAAGCATCATTGGTCCATTTTTCTTCTAAAGTGAGCAAAAGTTGGAGAGAATGGCATGTTCGACATTTTAGTTGCGAAAAGCGAACAGACAGACTAAATTCTGATGTCAATGTGTATCCTCGACGTGCGATTTGGACCCCCTGGACTATTTCTTTGAAGATAAATATTATGCTAACCATCTAGCGACAATCCAAGAGGTTTGAGCAAAACAATCGGAAAAGTACTAAGTTTGGGTTAATTAAAATAATTAAATGTCAGCAACATTACCAATAATTTATAAACGATTCAAATTTTAAACGGTCCTTTACGTAGATGGTTTCATCTGGGGGGTGCACAATGCAATATCTTAGTATCTCCGAAACATCCGTCTCTCTCTTCCATTTCTTCCACCTCGAATGTATAACTTCTTCCATAATAAATGTTACTTTCACCCCTCTGCAATATACAGGCGATTCTCGGAAGTAAATTATTCATTTCCATTGCCTCAAATTCTGTTTTGTGTTCCCCATGACTGAAAACCTTACCAGGATTTTCCACGATGTTCCTCCGCCATCGATATCACCCAGCTTTTAAATAGCACCCCGCTGTAATTAACCTTTATTTCCTTTACGCCGGCTCTTTAATTTCGTTGAATTCTTAATCTTGTCATTTTGAGTCAGACTGGGTCATTAGGCATATGGCAGGTTCACATAGAGGTATATTTTATTTAGGCCATTTTACCTCAAGGGAGTTGTGGATAGATTAAAGAAAAACTTTTATTATGAACTACTTGTGGGAATGGCATGGAAAATACTCAATTTATTTTGGCTTTCTCGACGCAATTAGGCATAGAAAAAACAATTGTAAGTGTGAAGTCTCAGTATGGTCGAGTCACCTTAATACTTATAACTAGTGTCCGACCGAAGATGAGTTTTTTAACACAATCTTCAGCCAAAGCAGATGCCAAAGGTTGGGTTATTCATAAAGAATTGTTACTAGTGCCTTCAAATCCAATTATTATAAGTAGAAATTTCTGTGATAATAATTTAATGAATATAAGTACTTAAATGTAATTAAGTCCTGTTACATTCAGATTAAAATACTTTAAAGCTCCAGATATTTAACACACTGGTAAGAAAGTCAGTTAAAGTAAGTACAAAAAAGATACAGAAGATCTTAGAATTCACATTATCTACATAACAGGGGCACTCAAACTCGCTCAGCTACAGCTCGTCCGAAAACATCTGCTCGACTGCGCCCTCTTCGGAAGAAACAGCTTACGGGGACGGTTACGGAAGTTTGGTATTGTGTTGAGTAGAGTTGAGATTTTGTCTATTCTCAATACAACTATTCACGAATTAATCGTGAATTAATCTAATAACTCCTCAACAACTGAAAGAAAATCCCATAACCTGCGGCAACTGCTAGAGATGGCAACGGTGAATCCTAAAGGCAGTTCGTAGGAATCCATTGTTTGACCAAATCAAATCACAGATATGTTTTAATTTCTAGTTATTGTACGACGTTTTGGCCACCACTAGTACAATGACAATCAATGACATTCTATTTTTGTTTATCTGTTTTCCGGTCCATTCATTTTTCCTGTTCTTCATTCCTAAACAGTTTATTGCAGCAATAGATTAAACTGTCTTGAAGTATGCCGAGATCACACAAAGCCGTCATTAAAATTTTAATAAAGCACTACGTAAAACCAGAAAAACCCAGGAATGAACAAAGGAAAAAATAAATGAAACGTCACCTAGAAGACAGATAAACAAAAATGTACTGTACTTGAAAAATACCACCATGGTGACCAAAATATCGTACAATAAACAGACATATATGTGTGAAATCATGAAGACTACAGGATAAATCAAGGAGTTACATTACCTAAGACGGTTGTCGACGTACACATGAGGGCCATTTTTAAAGTAAGAACCGATTGCGCATAATCCCTGTGTATGTTGCCACGTGACGTCCGCTCAAGCTTTTGGTCAGTGTCTCACTATGCCGTCATTACGTTTCAGATCTCGGTCACTGTAGGTTTCGTGATGATACTGCTTTGTTTATCACTATGTCCTAAACCCGCCAATTATGAAGTGCGCTCAATAATTCGGTTTTTAAATGCAATGTAGCTCGCCCTGCTGAAATTCCTCCCTAACAGCTTGATGAAGTTATTATTGCTACACAAAACCGCCGGTGAGGCCCGCTCTCGTGATCATCATAGAGAACTGACTTAACATCGTGAGACTTTAAGAAGAAGAATTTAAGACATTTCTTGGTGGAAAGCGCCTGGAAAATGACGGTGTGTTGGAAGAAACAGTTACCAACTAGTATCCAAAAGCTGGTGCCACAACTTGACTAATGTTAAAATTCTTATAGTACCTATTTTGAAAAGCAAGAAATGTAATACAATTTCCGTTTATAAATAAACCTTCTCCAACTCCATTACTCCAACTCTTACCTAAAGAATGAGCCTGGTACGTGTAAGCGTAAACTAGTCCTACATACGTGGTTTCATTTTGCGGCCAGAAAAATATGGGAATTTATGATTGGTTGACTGAAGGGGATTATTTTTTGTTGACGGTTTTTGGTCTCTTACGAAATTTCGGCGACAGATAGTTAGTAATACCAGTAATAAACATTTTCATATAACACTAATTCTAACACTCACAAGACGTATTCCATGCCTGAGGAGATTGAAATCACAATTGACCGTCCTTTTTGACATTTGAAAGAATTCACTTTATCATTTGCGAGCTGAGTCACTCTGCCGCTGAAGGAAAGCTACTTACAGCTCGTTACAAAAGACCATGATGATATATTCTCCTCGGAACGAATTCATCCAGGGCGTAATGCGCCTGGAGAGACATTACTCCCCCAAGCAAAAACTCGGCTACCATTAAAAATCGATAAAACACAAATGGCGTTCTTAGAGCCCCCGACGATATAATTTATAAAATGTATTCACCCCTTGAGAGAAGACGGGGAGGAAGGGAGAGAGGCAAGAAAATGTCCGCCTCGCTAGAAAATCCATCAAGACTTGCAATTAACTCGAATTCAAATTTTATTCATTATAAATTACCAACGTATAAAACGAGCTTCTTTGAGATGGGAGGAAGAAACGCCAATTTAAAGTTTCTCGACGCTGTTTTATTACTCGCCGACGACGTTCTTTGCTTCTCGCCAGCTCTTCTTCTTCTCCTGCTTCTTTCGCTTATTCCATGAACGCCGGTCGCCAAATTATAACAATCTTCCAAGCTCTGATCACTAGCATAATATGTTCTAATGTCTAGAGATACACCTTGCATTGGGGTATATCTAGATTTAAAAAAGACGTATGACACAGTTGATCATTATCAATAACCTGATGCTATGTGGCGCATAAGGAAAAAACAGACATCACACAACCTGTTTAGCATTTACATACAGAACAGAGAACAATGCTCAAGTATTTATGGAATGTATAGTAATTTTTACAAAAATAACCTGTTACGTTCCTTTGGTGTTAGGACTATTATTATTCAATATAGGTGTGTATACTTATTCAAGTATACATTATTACAATATTATAGACTTGTACGATATCCAAGCAGCTGGAAAAATTGTAAGTTTTGTCGACACACTATCATTCTCTAGAGTACAGTGAATTTAAGTCAACTATAAACATGATGAGAAAATGAATACTATAATAATTTAGTTTAACTTTAGGCTAACGGTAAATTACAGTAAAACGTACTTTATGCCATTTTCATCATATCTCAAAAATTTGGCTGAAAACGTTAAATTGTATCAATGAAAATACTAACGAACTAATTTCCAGGAAAGACATTGTAAATTGTCTATATACTTTGGGATACACATAAGCAGTTTCTGACAGAAAACCAATTGAAAATTATTCATTACGCATTAGCCGAAATGCATATGAATTATGGTATCATAATTTGAAAAACTTACATTGATGCACTAGAGAAAGCACAAAAACTAATCCTAAAAACAATACCCAATAAACCAATTACATATACAACGCGGATATTGAGTATGCTGAAACTCAAATACTGGATATAAGTTAATTTATGCTTCTACTTACTACTAATTAACTGTGTTGAATACAAGTATCGTAAAAGAAATAGATATAATTTACTGAAAATTCCTCAACCAGGAAAGTAGTCACTGCTACAATGTCTATGTCCAAGATCTTAAAACCTCCTACCATCTGAAATAAAGAGACAAACACACATTAACAAGTTCAAAAAGGAGTTATAGAATGGATAATATCTGCTCCTTGATCTAAAATTCATCAACCTATCGACCTAGAGGACACTTATTTAGATTAACCTTTTCCCATATTTCTGGTACGAACAAACAAATGTACTTCCCACCTTCGATCTTCAGCATGTCCACTTATTTCTTCTAATTCAATACTAAGTTATTTCATTGTGCTTACTTTCAACTTACGCTAATAAAATGTATACGTATATGATACAAATGTGTGTACATAAAACATGTATTGTAGATTCATCTATACCTATTGTTGAATTAATGATGTCATCATTACATCTTTAGGTTGTGTAAGGTATAAAATTTTAATGTATTGTGAATGTCACATGGTCCATTGACAAGAACTTGTATTCCTTTCTGTGAGATCGTTCATATTGTTTATGTTATATATAACATATAATGTTGTATGTAAGCATCTTGAATGAATATCGTTGTTATTATTACTATTACTGTTATTATAAGGATTGGTTACTCGGTGTGAAGTATAAAGTTGCTGAAGACAAGCTTTTATAGCCGCTCTCTGCAAAAATGCTCAATAGTATTGCTATATCAGTCTTTCTGCCCGAAGTGTGAGATTCTCCAGAAATGCGGAATACTCTCTAAAAACCTCCTGCTGCGGTGATGTTTGCAGAATTACGTCATGGTGGGCAGTATTGTGCCAAGCTTTCATATCAAAGTATTTAGTCGCCTTATTTTCAGCTTCATGCGTATACAGATGTACAGCCTGCGAAAATGAAAATTTTGGCCCAACAAGCAGGGTTAAAAATAAATTGCTTATCTTAAATACTCTTAAATGCCTGTAGAGAGAGGTATTATCTTCAATTCAGATACTTAGCTATCTCAAAAATTATAATTCTTAACCGAGTTTTCAAGCATTAAATATACCCATTGTTAGAGCTTTTTGGGCATTAAATGGCCTATAACTCGAGAATTTCCAGCTTTAGAGGAAGGTTAATGAATACACGGTTAAAAATTACCTCAAACCTGTTTCACTTAGATTCCCTCGGATCTGCTTGTTTTGCCTCTCCTTGGATCACATCAGACCTCCATGCACTATTTCTGCGCACGTATTTCTTTTGTGGACTCTCCCTCAGTGCAATAATTTTTCTCCGCCTATGTGCCTTTTCTTCATCTTCTGTAATGACGCGTCACCGTCAGCGTCAGCCTGAGAGGCACGAAATTAGTCCACTTATTGGACGACGGAAAAACAAAGGAATGACGTTATTGCCTAGATACAGGCATGGAGATTTGAAGTACGGAGTAGCATGACACGCCTCAGCTACCAATCGCGCTTGGGCGTAACGCGATCGACATATGAGTTTGTGGGGACCTCTGTCCTAACTATCCACAAAAATGTGACGTTGATCTCATCTTCTATTTTTCAAATATGTAATGGGATTGATGAGTGAAATAGACGGCCTACATTTAGTCTAGTCCTTTCCAGTTTTCTTTTTATGCAAATAAATCAAACTGTTTGTCTTATTCGGTACCAGAAGTTCCGATATACTAGTGTATTTACGTGATTATAAGAATACAGCGTGTCCTGAAATTTGGGACCTTTTTTCCAGAAACATCTACGTCTGAAATAACAAAGCTATTGTGCAGTAAACCAGCAGCAAAAACGTAAAAAAGAGATTGGAAAAAAGCACTTACTATTCTATTCTACTACTGACCGTCAAGCTGCCAACTTGAGGTATTCATATCCGACTGTAAATAAGCTAGGTTAACCTACACACCGAGCGGCGCCTGATTTATATACTAAGGCAATCGTACCACAAAACATCGTACCTTGTGACGTAAGATGCCGGTTCGGGCTCAATACACTCCGCGTCTTTTGGTGCTTAATATCTCGGTTACTTTAAGGCCTTGGTGTATGTGTGTTGAAGAAAACTTGCGTATTGTTGATGTGTTAATGAAATTACTAACTTTAAGGAAACTCCGTATGTACAAGGAGCTACTTCTACAGGTACATGTCGATTTCATATAGAACTAGTCCATTTTTGGCGACTTTTTTATAACAGTCGATCGATTGAGGAATCATTCAATTATATGTTACATATGTAAGTGTTATGACAGCTATGTTTCTGTATATATATTTAATAACAAATAAGCCTATACCAAAGGCTATGTCCATATAGCAGTACTTCATGACTACAAATGATCTTGAATAAAAATTAATAAATTCATCCTCAGGTTTAGGCGTTGTCACCTCTTGGACTGTTGCCCAGATTACGGGATGTTTCTTCTCGTTTAATAGTAAAACAATTTTCTCTGAAAGGAGAATGGTCTCTATCTTACAGGTCATATGGCGAGGAAGTATCGTAATCGCGAGATATTTTGAAAATGAGATATTATGGTTCTGATATTATATGAAAGGTACGTCACAAAAAATTGAATCACTCATGTCTGTCGGTTTATTTGTCTTCCAAATCCGCCAAGCGTCGGTCCCTTCATAGTTCGGAATGTACCGGTTGGGTTGTTTTGAATCTTTGACACAAGGTTACTACTATCCAAAGAACCAAAAGGCATTGTAGTTTTTGAAAATCGACACAGTCGCGACGTAGCTTCCGGCAAAAAACGAAAAATAGAATCGCTCAAACTTAGTTTATTTGCGTTTCAGAAGAAATTTATTTTAATACCCGCGTCGGGCGTAACGAAGGTAGAAGGTAAACCTGTCGTGAACTGGCCCCTCTGCAGCTGATGTGGTTGCGATTCTGTAATACAGTTTTAAGCACCTCAAAGACTGAGGGCCAACGACGTTAAGCAACACATTTCCTCCCTTCCTTTAAATAACGATTACGATAAACGTTAGTAGCATTAGTTAGCTAACGATGTTGGCGGCGCTCTGGATCCAGGTTCGATGTGAGAGTTACAGCACGATAGAGACGAAATATGAACGTCTGAATACAGTATAGGGTTTTGCTTTTTTTGGTGGATAAAGTGATCAATGGTTAGTTGTGATATATTTGCCATAATGATATCGTACCAGACCCTTCTTCTTATTCCATATGCAAAATACATTCCTTGTATTTCTCTCTTTTAAGTTTTGCATATAGAAACATAGTAGGCTGCGCGGATCGAACGTCAGTACTGAATCTTAACCTCACTCTTTAGTAAACTTAAATTCAAAGTTTCACAACAATACGCAGTGTTCTCACTACAGTGAATTTTTAAGTGTCACCAAGTCATTAGAAAAATGGAACTCAACCGAGAACATTTTCTTACCATAATTTGTTACAACTTTCAGAGACAACTATCACAACAAGAATGCCTTGCTAAGTTACTGTCTGTTTTCGGCCACGAAGCGTCACATCAGTCGACAATTTCCCGTTGGTATGGAGAATTCAAACGTGGACGGGTGAGTCTTAGCGACGATCCCAGGGTGGGTGCACCAAAAACGGCAGTCACCCAGGAAAACGTCGATTCTGTGGTGACGAATCGTGGATTTACTGTTATGAACGAGAAAATAAACGACAGTCGGGCTGTTTGGGTGTTCCAAGGTGAAGAAAAGTCAACAAAAGTCATCCGTTCTCGAAGTGTTTCGAAAAAGATGGTCGCGACATTTGTGTCAAAAGCGGCTCATATTGCAACAATTCCTCTTAATGAGCAAAGAACTGTTACTGCGGATTGGTATACCACCATTCGTTTGCCAAAAGTCATCACCGAGCTTCGAAAAATCAACCCCGAAAGAAGAATCATCCAAGGCAGTATTTAACGGAAAAAAACGTGGAATTATTGGACCATCCTCCATATAGTCCTAACGATTTCTTTACGTTCCCGAAAATTAAAAACAGACTGCGTGGTCAAAGGTTCCAGTCACCAGAAGAACAGTTGACGCATTCAAAAATGCCGTTTTGGATCTGTCAGCAAACGAGTGGAATAAGTGCTTCGTGGAGAATACTTCGAAAAACAATAAAGTCATTTAAAACTACCTACTGTGTTGTTTTATTTCCATATGCAAAACTTAAAAGACATCCCTCGTATATAAATGTGAATGTCTGTTTACTCTGACAACATCACGTCTGCACTACATTGCGGAGAGACGTAAGAATGTGTACTCTTACTAACTGATACCAGGGAAATATTATAGGCATGATTTTGTTAGTGAACTCACCATAGACTTTGCAATCAAATGTCGTGACAAGTACAAAAATGTCCACCGTGAGCATCAAGCCGGCAACAGCGCGCCCTACCATCGCTCTGCTCAACCTGTAACCGGCTTGCGACTTCGTATGCTTAAAACTGTTACTAACATAAAACACTATTTGTAAGTAATGCTATAATCTTTCGATCATGTTTTGTATCCCAGATAGCATTAGTGAACTGACAGCCCACTCACATGCTTGGGAAATTTCTATTAGTATGTGTTAGTGACTCAACCCACACGCTCCGTTATTTAGGCCCATATCGTCAGTCGTCCCTACAATTGTAGGGCGCCTTTATGGCCTCCTTGATTGTCATATTTTTCTACTTCTCCGTGTCAGAACTCTATTTTGAGGTTATGTCACAAACATCTATTTGCATCAAGTTGTGCTTGCTTTTGAGTTATATCATGTGTTATCAGTCTGAAATTTCCTACAATTTAAAAATAAAACAAATCTTCACAATAGGTGAGCGCTGACGCTGACACGGGACAAGTGTAATCTAGACATTTTTGAAGGAGAGAAAGGCGTATGACAATCAAGGAGGCCATAAACGCGCCCTACAATTGTAGGGACGACTAACGATACGGGCCTAAATCCGTGAGGCAGAATCCAGATCGATCTAACCCACTGGAACAACCTCAGTGCATTTTGCGGGCAAAATGAATATAGAAAATTCTTTTTAAAAAAATGCAACCATTTATCTTTACCTTCACGCCAGAAGCAATCCAATCATTACGTAGGTATGAGTTATTAATAGTGTCTGAAATTTAAGCCTTATTCGGTGGCAGTAAGCTAAAAGAAATCAATGTTTGACACTCCCCTCGTAAACTTTAAAACCGCCATCTCTTTCCTCCTATCGATTTTTTGACCGAAGTAAAAGGGTTGGGGGACAATGTCTCCCCAGATACGATAAAACTTGAGTGCAATCCACCCTCTAAGAAAGTTCACCCTATCTGGCCGTTTTATAACGAGCTCCAGCGCGGAGTTTTAACTGCTTTTTTGAACGTATATGAGCGAAATGCAAATTGCGAAAGTTTTACAGGTTCGTTTTATACTTTTATGGCAAACGGTACGTGGAAAATGTATTTCTGTGCCATAAAGATAACATGTAGAAGCCTTAAAATCGTTATTGCTGAAATGGAGTTTCAACCTAGTCGAGATATTGAAGTGAAGAAAGATGCACATTCACTTGGGTTTGGATTAGCTTGTTTAACGGAACCGCAAAATGTTGGCCAAGTCACTGAAAATCAAAGGAATTGTCCATTTTTTTCTATCTCGAAGATTTTTGAAGCTAAGAAGATAAGGCACCCTCATTGTCAAAATTCGTCACACTGGCGGTGAAGATAAGAGTAGAAGTTTTATTTGACTTTCATGTTTCTGATGGAACCTAGGCGTAGTTGAAGGATGCTCTTGGATCAGCGAACATGTTGACATTTGTGTATGGTTTTCACCTTCATGTCTCTAAACACTTAAGGCGAAATACAAAGTTTGGAGACATACTAACTTTGATAATTGGCATGCAGTATCTTTTTGCGTATGCTGGATGTGTACTATTGAGTCAATCTACCTGACACCATTTTTTTTTCTGCAGTATTGATTAAATTTGCGTCTCGGAACTTAAAATAACCCTTCTACTTAATAGGAATTCCGGAAGAAGTGTCAAACTGGGGCCTTCTACCCCTTCCCTCTAGAAACTGTGGGGTGAGTCATTCCCATTAAAAACAATCATCGTCACGATCGAAACTTTTAAGGAGGAAGAGAGCGATTGTTATGAATATGCATTCTTGTCAAAGTCAGATTTCATAATTTGTTGCGCGGTTGAGCACTTCACCTTCACTGAACAGTGTTTTAGTCTGAGATCCCTCAAATATATTTCGAATCTTTTAATAGAAAAGTACATTTGTACCTTACACCGCACCTTAGTTGGACCTCATCCAACATACGGTAGATTAGGATGAGGAGATGCAGATATTTAAAACTCATATATTTCTAAAACGACTGTTCGAAGTACGAAGTTCAAAAAACTTTATGCTGCTAACTAATCACTCTCAGATGTACGAATACATGACATAAGAGAGCCTTGTTTCTTACACCCTCATTAGAATAAATTTCACAAGTCAGAAAATTGAGCACAATTATTGTACACGGTACAAAATAACAATATTTAGAAAAGTGGTACCAAAGCCACATGAATCTTCTATCATTAACATTTTATGGAATTTTTCCAAAAGATTAAATAATTTTAATTTCGGAAATCCCTTCAAGAAAAATTCAAGAAGTGGATGTTTTCTATGCCAAGATAAAGTATTCATAAATCAGTAGCAAATGTAAACACCATGTGAATTCAAAACCCATAATGATTTTTTGTTGTGTAATTATTTATATTTTATAATCTACAATTGCAGCATAACTTGGTTTATTGCCTTTAAAATATGACAAAAACTATAGAAATATGCAAACTACCCATAGAAGGCACAGCTTTGTGCATGGGCATGTTTATATCTAATACATAAATCTACAATGATTAAAAAATCCATAACACCTTATAATGTTAAAAACTATTTTTATAAAGGAAATGGCAGGCAACAGCGGTGGCCGCAGAAGTAGACTCTTCGGTCTCCTGATCAGTCGCCGTGGGCTGTGCGGGTTCGAATCCCGTCCCAGGAGAAATTTTTCTCTTGGCTATGGATGTTGTGATTGTCCGTAGGTAGTAGACGGTCTCTGACTGTCGAACGCGGAGGTACCATCCGGCGGATCTCGTAGGCGGAGCCAGAATGTGTGCATGTTGCATGCACACGTGTTCCCTCGCCAGAGTCCGTGTGGCGTTCCCCCTTTCCCATGAATCCCCCTATAGCCCCACGGTACCCAATGGGTGCTTAGGCCTTAGGCCTTCGTGGTAGTTGGAGTATAAAAAAAAATAAAATGATCGGTCCACGTACGGACAAGATCTCTTGTGAACTCATTTTGATTTATTTCATTCTCTTGCTACAATGGAGGATAAATCGGTGGGTAAATCGGTGCGTGGATTTTAAATCCTGCGTAACTCGCCTGGAGATTCACTAGGGCCTGAATAACCCAGTTTCTGTTCTTAAATTCACCCCCAAAACACTTGACTAGACTTTCCGGTGGTCATATTCGTATCCACTACCTTAAATTATCGGAGTGTACCAAGTTTCATTTGCCTTTAGCAATGAGAGAGAAATATATAAAATCTTGCTCGATGAAGTTTGTACAATATTTTCAGGTTTGCTGTGTGAAAATTTTAGAAAAACTCTGCATTTCGCTAGACTGAATCCGATGTCAACTTAATGCTGGCACTAGCTGAAATTTGGACCTACGGCACGTCATAATATTCTGAAGATTATATTCATATTTAGCACCCCAAAATTACCTACTACAAAAGACGGAATGTGCCATATAAAATTCGATAAATTTAGAACCTTCCTATAAAAAATTTAAAAAAACCTTGTGTCTGTGATTTCAACTTAAAACCCCTTCATATATAAACACTCATATTATCAATTACGATCTATATGTGCTTGATTGAATAAATAGGGAACGCGCATCTTTAATTTTGTATTTTCTGTCGATTGTTTACGTCAACACGTATTTTATTCAAGAAAGTGTCTGTACTTTTCATCATATATTCAAAAGTGCAGTGTCAATAACGTTGATTTATACACCGCATTTTTCGTGCGCTTCGCAGTGACGTCGCAACCCATGATATGCCATTTTATTCTATTGATTTCCTGTCAAGTTTTTGAATGTTCTTTTTTCATTTTGTTATTTTTCTGATATTGGCGGCGAAGTTCTCCTGCTGTTGGCAGATTCCACGTTAACCAGTAGTCTCTGGAACTAAAAAAACTGACAGGTTGACAATTAATGACAGCGACAATCGTGACGTCAGGCCAATAGCGTTGTTAAATTTGACACGTACTTTTCAGAATTTTTATTAATTAAAACTAGTAATTTTGTAGTGCATAACTATAAGATAAGGTTGACGGTGGATTTCTGCAGTAATATAGACTGTAAATGAAAATACACACCGGATATTTGAATCACATGCATATTTCCTATTTTAGCGAATTTTCAAGTCAATAGTAAAAATGTCTTTCATTTGCAGATGCCCTTCATAAAACAGACGAGCCCTATGCTTAAACAAAAACAATTTTCTGTCTTCATGGCATCTAAAAACTTAAAGCACTTAAATTTAGCACAATCGAGCTGAGCTATCTTACGGTATGTTTCTATGTAAATGAGATAAAAGTAAAAAGCCATTCTGCGGCTTATCTGCATAATGAGAATATTAGGCGGAGCTTTTTATTGATGCTAAATCAAAATGAAACTTTGCCTGCACCATTATATCCTTGATGAATTCAAGTTTTTGTAATAAAGCAGACAAAAGCTTCGGCAAGCGAGAGATGTTCTTGATATGCAAAAGACGAATGAAGTTTGATACTGTGAATGTATATGATCAGCAGCTTAATTATCCAACTTTTTACTTCTTATCCTTCTGTTTGGAGAAGCAATGAAATTTTTTATATTTGGGTGTTTTATAGTCCGGGATTCAGTGTTCACGTAGCAGTCAAGCGCTTATACGCTACGCGTATCACATGGTGTAAATCCATGCTCTAGGTTTTGTCTTTTCCAACTGCCTAACAGCTCTGGAATCCTACATTGCAAAATCAATATTTTTCTTCAGAAATTTACTTTACTATTATTGTGAGGCTGCCAAACAAACTGGCGGTTTTTCTTACAACTTACGCACTTACGATTATGCAAGAAAGTTGGACGAATATACAAAAATATGCGTGTATTTGGTTAAAATGTAACACGGGATATTTGCTTTGCTCGGGGTATTCGCAGGGCTCGGGATATTCACTTTGCCCGGGGTATTCGCTTTGCTTGGGTGCCGCTTTGTTCGGAGTGTCCGCTTTGCCTGGGGTGTTCGTTTTTCCCGGGGTGTTCGCTTTGCCCGCGGTGTTTGTTTTCCCCGGGGTGCTCGCTTTGCATTGGGTGTTTGCTTTATCTAGGTCTCCCCTACACCTTAAACCATCGAATCCCAAGATCTTGAAAATTGATCATCCGAATTGGCGCTAGTTAAGATTCTAGACTAAGAGCCGTTTTACACACAAGAGAATTACTCCGAAAATTATGGTCATAATTATGCCGAAAATTTTTGTTGTCGTATTACACGTAAAGGAATTCTTGTGAAAATTTTCATGGTAAAAATATAAAACCCGTTCTATAGAATATGCGCGAGAATCGGCGCAGAGGGTTATTTCCGTGCATGTCAATTGTCAATATCAAATGTCAACGTCAACAACATAACCTCACTTAACATTTGTGGGTGTGGTCCTGTTCGAGTCGTACGAAGAAGCGTTTATTGTTATTGTTTATTCATATGGAATCGGGAAGAAGTTACACTGTTGTTGGAGGAGTACCAAAAATGGACAAACCTGTACAAGGTGAAGTCACCCAATTACAAAAACAGAAATTTGCCGCGTCAGGCGCTGGATGCGATAGTCCAAGCATTGAGAAGTTTTATAATATCTATTAACCAAGATCTCGATTTCAAAAATAAATTTAAATCAACGACGTCTGTTGACTTTCCGATTATATTGGACGTCATACCCGTTAATGTTATATCCATTCGAAAGTATTACTCTAATGCGCAGGCGTATCATATGAATTACTCCAAAATTTTTTTTGCTTGTGTCATACAGGTTGTAGAGAAAATCTTCAATATTTTTTCCATGCAAATTTTCGGCATAATTATGACCATAATTTTCTGAGTAATTCTTTTGTATGTAGTAGTGTTCAATTTTCCCTTTCTAGCGTACCTACCATAATAATTAAAAATAATAAATTCCTGAAGCATATGAAAATATTTTATGTTGAATATTTTGAAGTCCACCATCCTTCTGAGAACATGGAACTGGTGCAATTACGAAACTTGCTTCAATTGATTTTTCCCGTGACGTAACATGTTTACCGAAGCGTCTTATTTGATTAATTACGTTTTTAAGTTCGGTTACCTTCTTCTCGGCAGTAAACAAGATATAATACATAAGACGATAAAAGACCTCGAGACAGAAATTAATTATGCAAGTACTTTACTTCCATTCACGTCAACGAAAATGCTGACGAACACTTAGGAATGGGTCATCCTACGCATTAGTGACACGCGGCCTTACCGCACAAAGTTTGTTATTTTTGCTGAGACTCTGTCATAACAAAGGTTAAGCTTTTTTGGTTAGGGAGGTAAATCCTTCACTCTAGTAATCATCTCGGTCCCGGACTTATCAAAGTTAGCTCGTGATGTCATTTATACATACTCTAACGAGAAAAATGACAGACTCACTGCTAGGTTTCTCTGACATCGGTTAGATGAGCCGTTTTTGCAAAAAAGTTTGGTACTGGATCCAGTATCTTGGGACCGCTAGTTTGAAATTGTAGTAAACTTGATCCAATATTCGCAACCGGAGACACTAAGGACTAATCCTAATCTAATTTTAGATGTATATTGATTTTTTTGGAGATCGGTTGCAATGTAGATCGGTGGGCACTATTTTCTCAAAACTGCTCGTTTTATCAAAATTCGAAGAAGCAACAATGCTTCTCAAAGACATTATTTTTGATTCATTATTATACCAGCGTGATCCCAAAGTCCCGGAATGAATAGCGTCGAGTACGACCTTGAGGGTCAGATCAAGGTCAGGATAATTTTCAAGAGATATCCCAAAAACGGGTCTTGAATAGGCTGTCAAGGTCAGTTTCAAGGTCACCTGTAATAGCCAGCCAGTTAGCCTGTCTTCGAGTCCTTATTGCTAATGCTTGGGAATATTTCTGAAACCTTCTCAAACGAGGGCATTTTAAGGTAACCCTTGACCTAGACAATTTTCACCGATGGTCATATACGAGTATAAACGCAGAAGCTCTATCCGCTTCTGTGTTAAAAAGGTCACGCTAGAGGTAAAATTTTTGTTATAAGTAAGGTGATGAAGAGGCGCATGAATCGAGAGACTCTAGACTCTAGAGTCATTGATGGTCACGGCTTGATTAGGGTCAGGACAGTCTCGGGACCCTTTACGAAGCAACGGGCCGTCGACGATCGAGCTCTCTTCTACCGCTATGCCAACAGGCTTTGCTTCTTAGAGCTCTTCTTCGTGATGCCGTCGCGCAATATGGCTGTCGGATAGACCCAACTGACTTTAGCATCCCATTCTGACCGTGTCGAAATCGTACATCCAGTACCTGGGCAGGCCTTTCCAAGTTCTGCTAGCCTCAAGCTGTTCAAAAAAGGGCCAGATTCCTTTAGACTTTTCATAGAAGCCGCAGTGACCCGGTAATAAGGCTTCGGTATAAAAAAATTCAAACTCAGACAAAAATCCTAAATCCGCTAGTTTATTTTTACTATGGCCATTAAATATTCCCAAATATCATACGGTTCCCAGACATTTTTTTACATGAAGTTGTGCCATTTTTTTGTATTCTATTGCATTCCAGAGAACATTCTAAGTCACCTAGTATAAACGAAGCTTGTCTATACCAGCGCTCTTCTAATATGCCGCTGCTTTCCAAGCCTGACACATTAAAAGCATTTATATAAAAACTTCTCATCTCCATTAAATGTTTTCCATCCTCGCAAAAGTTAAAAATTTTGCCAGTTGGCGCTGGCATGAGCTATTCTGGTATAATGGCACTCCGCGAAAAATGGCGGAGAGTTGGGAGAATATTTTTGTATCCAATTTAACTTCGAGGTTGTTAAAAACTTTCTCATTTTTGCTGCACGGTATTTGAAAGGGCATGTATCCTCGTGCACGTATGCAGAGCTCATCTTTCACAAATACACATACAGGTCCCCTTTCTCCCTCTTTATCTCCCCAGGAGCATCAGCTGACAGAGAATGTGTCAACTAACATCATGATACTTCTCACAAATTACTATAACTATAACTACTTAAGCTGCCATGTGTTGAGGATTTTGAAAAGTTTTGGTTCTTTGAAGTAATGCAGTTACAAAAGAACCAATGAAGTATTTATAAGCACTGTGAAATCGGCAAAAGCAGAGGAAACTGTTTTCTATTATCTAGGACTTGGACAATGTCCTCCAAAGAATCATATAGTTTGGAATTTGAAATGCCTAAGTGCTTGTTGTTAATTATTTTCCAACCTTCACGTATTCTCAGATATACGAGGGCAATGTGAAGAGTTCTCGGTCTGACAATGAAAGCAATTATAAGATAAAAAAATATTTCATGTTTTTACATATTAACCCTAACACACTTGGCCCGACGTTTACCTAACGTTAGGATTCCTACTCGGAACTGGAAGTCTGGAAGGCAATCAAAACGAGCCTAAAACTCTTCCTAGAAAGAAATTTCCTAAAATCGAGAGACAGATGGAGGTCCGAGGGTGCTAAATCAAGGAAATAGGGAGGGT